TTGAGCATAAATCACTTATGAGTATCCATTACTGATTTCCAACCAATATTATTTTTATTATCATATCATCAGAAATCTCTAAGGTCCTGAAAAACATCTAAATCATAAGAATGCATTTTTTAAAAATCACATAAGTTGGTGTATCTGAAAGCATGGCAATTTAAAATGGAAATCACTGAGGAGGCTTCACAAGCTCTTAAAATAGAGCTCGTATGTGAAATTGTATTTTTCTTTATAGAATATATATGACTGGCTTTGCTGCATGTTCAGATTTCATGTACAGGTTAGATGGATGTCATTGTGCCTTTGTGACTTTCAGATGTCGCACATGAATTTGCCATTTGCAGATGGGTGAGTGCTCCTGAATCCAGTTGAACAAAGGACTGTGTTCACTACATTACCATGCCCCCTTAAAGGGTGAAAAGAATGGTTACTTCGGAGATCAAAGGACTTCTCTCCTCTTCTATTGATCTCCTAGAAGATTAGATTGCCCTTGTGCTGTATGCTGGTATCATACAAGCTTCCTGGGTGGGGGTGGGGACTAGCTAAAATGTATAAATTCTTTCTTACAGTCTCTTGAAACACATACACACACACACACATATATACACTCACACTGGGATTGTAATAAAACAGAGTGAGTCACACTGCAGACATTTAAAGATTTATATTTTTACGCTTCAGTAATTCTGAATAAAACTAAACAGAGAAAAGTTCAGGCTACAAAGAAAATTGAAGATTGATCTTAGAGGGGTCTCCAGGCTCACTTCCTCATTGATTAATTACCGCAGATCACCACATGGCTGCTCATCTCCCCTAATGAGGTGACTGGTCTTTGTTCTGTGTGAGTCTGAGACATTTCATTTCAGCTCTATCATGTGCTCTTAGAGGTGATACAATGCTCAGCAGAGTGTAACCAAAATCATTAGTATAAGCTCTGGAGTTTGGGAATACAAACAGGAGCAGGTTCTAGTCAACTGCTGGTTATTAAACAGGGCTACAAAGCATTTTCCCTTAGAAGGTCTTATTTTTAACTCACTAAAGTTCATCTGTTTTGCTATAAATATGAATAAATGAGAGATGTAACTTCTATCTCTCATGATTTCCTGGCATAAGGATTCACACATGACATATAGAATTTCTGATGCTCTTTGGGGCTAGACAATCTTTTATATTTATCTTGAGCCACACTTGAGCTCAATAGAAGAAACTCCTTCCTGCCCATGTGTTCCCCAGTCTACAAAGTAGAAGCAGCTGTGTCAAGGTTAGAATTAGGGTCAAAGTGCCTTGGCTGGTGTGGCTCAGTGGACTGAGCACTGGCCTGTGAACCAAAGGGTCACCAGTTTGACTCCCCGTCTAGGGCACATGCCTGGATTGCGGGGGTGTGCAAGAGGCAACCACACGTTGACGTTTCTCTTCCTCTCTTTCTCCTTTCCTTCCCCTCTCTCTAAAAGTAAATAAATAAAGTCTTAAAAAAATTGACTACAAATGCCAGCCCCTATTCTAAGTGTTTACATACTCATTAATACTCATAACAAGCATTCAGTTAGGTATCATCGCCCTTATTTTCAGGTTAAAAAAAACTAAAAGAGAAGTTACCTAACATGTCTAAGATCACATACATAGCTCGCAAGAGGTGATGCTGGGAGTCAAAGCTATGCAGCCTGGCTTTGCAATTCATGTTCTTAATCACTATATACTACTGCCTGTCTGTCTTTTAGGGGGGAAAAATTCAGTTCATGATGACATTTGTCTTCTCTACCTTATTCAACCAGCTTTTCTCTTGGGAAAAATGTTATCTAAGAAAAAATCTTTTCTCATTTACTTGAAAATAGTATCACACTAAGAACCCTTGTAAAAACCACGGACACCATCAGAACAAAATAAAAATGCAGTTAAGATCAAACCATAATATCCATTTTATGTAAGTAAGTACTTGGCAAGCTTTCAGATCAATATGGCATTTCATTTGTGAGTGGACCATTAATCTCTAGAGAGGATAAAAGTTAGATTTCATCAGTCCAGTTTTGAAGAGAGGCCAATAATCAAATTCATGTACTCAACAGCTTATTTAAAAAGGATAAAAATGAGAACCTACTCCCCGGTCGTAGTCTACTGAAGAACACAAAGGCCAACATTCAAGGCATGTAAAGAAAACAAAAATATACGATGTCATCCTAAATACCAACCAGGGAAACTTGATTTGTTCGAACATTAACATGTATGTTTCCTATACTGTTTGAAATCTTAATCTAATTTTTAAAAATTTTGGGAAAACCTATGCTCGTAATGAATAACGTACAACCACTGGGATGAATAAGTAAAGTAACGGCCCTGGCTGGGTGGCTCAGTTGGTTGGCATGTCATCTCACACACCAAAACATTGTGTGTTCAAATTCCCAGTCAGGGCACACACCTAGGTTGTGTTTCAATCCTCAGTAGGGGCACATATGAGAGGCTATTGATTGATGTTTCTTTCACATCAATTTTCCTTTCTCTTTCCTTTCCTCTCTCTCTAAAATCAATAAACATATCCTCAGGTGAGGATTAAAAAAGGAAAAGTAATGGCACAGAAAGTTATTCACAATATATTAAGTGAAAGGGAATTACAAATTACTAGGTATATTACAGTTCCATATTTGCAAAAATATAATTGTATAGATTAGAAAATTTAACCACAAAATACACTAAATGTTAACAATTTTCTCTGGGTCATTTTTGTTTTCTTCTTTTAAGCTCCTTTATATTTTCTTTAAATATGAATAGCTTTGTGATAAGAAATGTGGTATTAAAAACATGCTTATTTTTTTCCACATTTTTTGTTGTTGTTCAAGTAATTGTCTCCATTTCCCCCCCACCCCAGCCATCCCCACTTCCCACCCTTGATCCTACCACTCTTTGGTTTTGTTCATGTGTCCTTTATACATGTTCCTGAAAACCCTTCCTATTTTTTATTTATTGATTTTGAAGAGAGAGGAAGGAGGAGAGAGAGGAACATGGATTTATTGTTCCACCTGTTAATGCACTCATCGGTTGACTCTTGTATGTGCCTCAACTGGAGATAACCCTAACGCAAACCCTAACTGAACCCACAACCTTGGTGCATCTGGACAACACTCCAACCAACTGAGCTACCTGGACAGAGCATAAAAACATGCTTATGTAAAAATCTGGAATTATGCATAAGCGTAGAAAAGAAAAAATCCCTAAAATTCCATCAATTGGAAGTAATAAAACTTCAACATCTGGGTGCAAAACAACCAAAAAAATGATGAACATTTACAATCAGCATCTGCTCAAAAATTCTGTTACCAGGGGTTTCCAAGATAAGAAAATATACCAGAGAGGGTGCAACAATTAGAACTCTAAAGGAAAAAAATTGTTAAACAGTTAGCCACACATCTGACAAGCAATTATAACCTGGCAATTCTACAAGAATGTGCATCTAGGACTGAGTCACAGAGTATATACTTTGGGCAAGCTGAGTAGGACAAATAATGAGTCAGAGGTGTTACTTCCAAGAATTCAGTCACTTGAGGAGAGTGACTGTGAGTGTGCCAGGCCTGTTAGCTTGGAACCCAGAAGAGGAGTGGTCAGAGACTGGGAAAGGATGTACCTGACTCAGTCACTAGGGAAGGGCAATGCCATGCAAACAGAGCAGCTCAGTGAACCCCAAGAGCAGAGGAAACAGCCTGGGCTTCTACTGGAGAGAAAAGTTGGGATGGCGCTTAAGAGAGGAACTGAAAAACCTGCCACGCATGCATCTTGCCAAACTACAACTGCCACGAACCACCCCTGTGCACATCATCTCAGAGAGGGCTCACGCAAAACCCGAGGTCCTCAAGGTCTGCCAGTCAAATCTCAATTTAACCACTGAAGTGAGGCTCTGGAATCCGCACTTCATATACTCTCAGTTGTGCAGATTTGGGAATTGTTTTGTTTCTGCTGATGTCCCTGGAAAAAAACCCCTTTTGAAAAACCTCTGACCTTATCTCAGCTAAACTAAACATACGCTGCTAGTGGCCCAGCAAGACTAACCCAAAGCAAGACAGGACATGTTTGTTCTTGCTTATGCTTTTCCCTCATCTTAGTCTTCGACCCTCTGGTTCTTTAAAGACAACTACCAAGTATTGCCTCCTCACCCCTAAGTTTTCACTTCTTCCAGTAAACCAGAAGCAACTGTTCAACACTTGCTCTTGTTTTTTGGTGTCCGGGTCTCTCCTTCTCTCACCTTTGAAGTGTGCTTCCCAATACCGGGCCTAAGAGGCACTGGAGATTAGAACTTGGGCCACATCAGGAAGTTTATGCTAATGCTGTGATTTATGGCAAATGCTTGTTTTCTTACACCTGGGGTACAAGACATGCCGTCAGTTTGACTACAGGGCAAGTGCTGCAGTCTCAATGGCCGAACCAATCACATGGGCACCGCATGCCCATGTGACTAACTCCCAGTAAAACCCTGGACACTAAGGCTCAGGTGAACTTCCTCGGTTAGCAACACCCCGTACATGTCACATACCACTACTGCTGCCTCTTCACTGGGAGAGGACAACTGGAAGTCTGTGCCTGGCTGCTCCTACACTCTGCCCAATACAACTCTTTCATTTGCTGATTTTGATCTGTATCCTTTTACTGTAATAGACTATACATATGAGTATAATAGCTTTTCTGGGTCCCAAGAGACCTAGTGAACCACTGAACCTGAGGGTGGTCTTGGGTATCCCTGACATATGTTAAATGGAACAGGAATAAAAATATTAACTACTTGTGCAAGAAATATTTAAGAGGCAACGAATTCCATAGTTGCTATTCTGTTCATTGTCAAATAACAGCATCTAGTCTAATTAGTTAAGGTAAAGATGTTTATAAAATACCTATTTGAATGCAAAGTTTAATTTAATACCTCCATCTCTTAAAGAGTTTTGGTTATTTTAAAAAAATCCACAATAAGCACAAACATTTCAAAATAGGTTAAATTTTTATTAAAAATTTGTATTAAATGTTAGAAGAGATTTATACACAATTCACAAATCCTTTATAAAACAATTGCCAATTTTTACCCAATTGTAATTGTTTCTATGCAGACTTGGAAATATAGTCTACAAAATATTTCTTTTAGAAAGCTATCAAAATGCTATTCTTAGGCAAAATAATGTTTAAAACTGAAGTTTCTGTGTGTGAGTGAGGTCTCAAGCACCCGTATTCTCTATCCCAGTGACAAAGTAATGGGAAAACGAACCATGAACTGACTTACTGAAGAAACAATGAGTAAGTATTCTGTAAACTTCTCAAATTTTTTATTACTTTCAGAAGCAGTGTCATTACAAGGTATCAATAATCATACTATGTACTCAAATAAAATGAATGTTAATAAAATTAACATTCTAGGAATAAGAATATTGTCACAAAGAGGCACCCCTTGTTGTAAGATATGTTAAAGAAGTCTTTATTACACTGAAGGCTCATGGTTTGGGCCAATAAACCATATAGGAGACAGTCTCCTCACACAGAATAATGATAATTTATCCCTTTTAGAAGTGAATAACATCTGTTTAGTAGTGTTGCTGGTAAAAAAAAAAAAAAGATTCAAGTTCAAAATATGACGGCAACACACAAAGTGGCCAACAGTTTTGGTCTTTGTGTGGAGGGGTGCCATCTGCACAGTTTAACGAAGACTGATTTTTCATCTTCATTTCAAAAGCACACTTCTTTCCTGCCCACCTAATGCCACTCCAGAGAGTAGAATCCTAACCACCAACTTAAGAGTGATATGGCTCAATGAAGAAAACAGTAACTGATTTACATCAAAGATGTGGAAGCAAAATCAGTATCAAAGTATTTGAAATCACAAGGAATTTAAAAATACTTTGAAAATTTCGCCCTGAGCTGTGGATGCTTTTGATATACAGCTGCTAGTAAAACAGATGCATCCCATCGTTCCAAGTTGTACTTGTAAATGTTATGATGCTCGGTGCTGAAAACAGGTAAGTTATGTCTCCTCACAAAGCGGTAGCAATTACGTTTCATGAAAATCTTTGGTGAGACGCAATCCTGCAGAAGCCACCTTGGCTTGTTCCCCCCCTCCTAATGCTCCTAGAATCTTCAAGTAATTTTCAGAGGGGAAACCACAAGACCATAATGAAGGACCAGAAGACCATCCTGCAAAGAAAAAAGAGTGTTTTGCAGTTATTTGAAAACTAGTTATATAAATAATCAAGTAAAAAAAATGGTCTGTTTTTCATAACCCAACACTAATGTGAAATTCTTGAAAGAGAATAAAAGGTCCAACATAAATAAACTTGCTTTTTCCCTCACCCCATCACCAAACACTCCCTGTCAACATGCCTTTTTAATAACTCTCAGGAGACAATTTTGAAACTACCAGGTATGCATAGTTAGCTCGGGGTTGTTTATGGTTCAACAGTTCTCCAAAAAGAAGTAAAAGAGATACACCTTTCCTTGCGCACAGACTACTCAACAGACCACCCAGGCATTAGGCTTCCCTAAAAAAAGACTCAATTATTATAAAGCATCATGGATCTGTTAAGAAATGAAATATTTACTTCCACATAAATGCAGCCCACTACTATTCTAAGTGAGAAAACTTTAGAACTCTTACCCATTTAATATACCATAATTTTACTTCCTTCTTAAAGACTGTTCAGTACCATTTACCTTTTGTTATCCAGAGTCATCACTATGAACGGTAAGTACACCGTATTGTGACACAGTGATGTCCTCAGTCAGGGATTGTTAAGCAACTTAAACCTATACTAAATGACTGCAGATCCCGTACTTCTGAGTCTTTTTATCTGCTTTTTGTGGTCTATCCCCTATGTTGATATTGGGTCTTAATTCTTTGTGCTCTCACCAAGGCGGCATCCAGCAAGCAATCCACTTTTTTAAGGAACTATTTCCTAATCTATTATGAAACCAGCTTTAAAGAAAGACTCACTGGGGAAGTGTGCCACTAGCAACTGGCCTACTTTGGGCAACAAAGAGGTGGAGCGAGGGCATGCGTGCCTTGCAGTTCCAATCCTGCTCCAGCTATCCCTCTTTTCCTTCTTTGCTAAGCCTTCCCATGGCTCTACTTCCTCATTTCTCCCTCACTACTCGACTCACTGCAATCTGGCTTCTGTTCCGGGCAATTCCAGTGAAAACTCACCAGAATTCTAGAAAAAGGTTCACAAATTCAAATGCCCACAAAGGCCAGGAAAGTAACATAAATGAACACGTGCATTAGGTATATGAATCAATAAGTAATGCTGAGACCAGAAGTAAACCAGAGAACACATGCCTAGTTAAGGAATTTTAACTCAATTTAAAACACAAAATAGGTCAAATAAAGCATAGTTCCATATCACATGTGGTGCACAGACCATCAGATCTGTTCTGGACTAATTAGCCTAATAAAAGTAAACGAACTTGTATTATAAAACAAACAGAAAGATTCTATTAACAATTTTACACGATGACGAATGACATTTTAGATAATGCTTTTTGCATATAGTTGTATTTCAGAAAGAAAGACATTATTTGCAAAACAACATATTGACATGTAAAGATATAAAGCAAAGTATAGCTTACAAGCTGTTTCAAAATCAAGGCCGTATCCAGCAAGCAATCAATCCACCTTTTTAAGGTACTATTTATACATTTACAAAATCAACTTGAATACATTTATAATATCACATTTTATCACTTACAATTCAAATCTATATCTATATGTCTATTATATTTGTATTCCATATATGTCTATAGACATATTCCATAGACATATATGGAATATAAATCCATATTCTAGCCATCTCCTGCTTGGTCTTCCTCCTTTCCTGCTACCTTCTATTTTCCCAGCATTACTGTCTTTCCCAAAGGACCCTGCCTTCTCATGATGTATCCGAAGTAGGACAGCTTCAGTCTTGTCATTTTTGCCTCCAGTGATGTTTCAGGCTTAATTTGCTCAAGGGCCCACTTGTTGGTATTTCTGGAAGTCCAGGGTATCCACAGAACTCTCCTCCAACACCATATTTCAAATGAATCAATTTTTTCCCTATCAGCCTTCCTCACTGTCCAACTCCCACATCTGCACATGCTAACTGGGAATACAAGGGTGTGAATGACCTTAGCCTTGGCCTCTAATGACACTCTTTGCTTCAGTGATCTTTCCTAATTCTTCCACTGCTGCCTTTCTGAGACTCAGCCTTCTCTTAAATATTGAATTTCCATACAATGGAATATTATTCATCCATAAAACAAAATTCTGATACATGCTAAAACATAAATGAAGCTTGAAAACATTATGCTAAGTAAAAGCCAGTCACAAAGACCACGTATTGTACGATTCCATTTACATGAAATGTCCAAAATAGATAAATTCAGAGATAGAAGGTAGAGTACTGGTTGAGAAAGGCTGGAGGATGGAGGTATATGGACAATGAATACTAACGGATATGGAGTTTCTTTCTGGGGTGATAAACATGATCTAGCCCTGGCCGGTGTGGCTTAGTTGGTTGGAGCATCATCCCATAAACCATCATCCCCCAAACCATGGTCAGGGCTCACACCTAGGTTGTGGGTTCAGTCCCTGGTTGGTGCACATTCAGGAGGCATCCTATGTTTCTCTTTTGCATCGATGTTTCTCTCTCTCTCTGCCCCTCCCTTCCCCTCTAAGGTCAATGGGAATGTCCTCGGGTGAGGATTTAAAAGAAAAAAAATTTTAAAATTGATTGGACAATAGTTTGACAACTCTGTAAATACACTAAAATTTATTTTTTAAATCTGTTTTTTAAAGATTTTTAAATTTTATTTTATTATCTTTTAGAGAGCAGGGATGGGAGAAAGAAAGAGAGGGAGAGAAACATTGATGTGTAGAGAAGCATCGACTGGTTGCCTCTCACATGCGCCCTACTGGGGACCTGGCCCGCAACCCAGGCCTGTGCCCTGACTGGGAATCAAACCAGCGACCCTTTGGTTTGCAGGCTGGCACTCCATCCACTGAGCCACACCAGCCGGGGCTAGTTCAGGTAATTTTAAGAAAATTAAAGAACATTTATTAAAATTTTATTGATAACACAGAACTTCTTTATTTCATCAAATAACTTGCCTGTTAGGCACTAAGTAGGATAAAGTCAGAGAGAGACCTACCTGCATCGCTGCCTCACCCAGCGCACGCCGGATTTCCCGCAGAGTCTGGTACCGCTCCAACAAGTGATCGCCACAGATGATATCCACCTACAGGCACGGGAAGCACCAGATGCTTTACTACTTCAAAGCCCATATGCAAAACTAAGAAAAATCAACATAATTATTGATTTCCGTATTTTCAATCTACACTTTGGTATTTTACTTGAGACTGATGAAACTCTCAGGAAAGATTTTAGAAACCTTTGACAGGGGTAAATGACGTAAACTGGAAAGAGCAGTGGAGGAGCAGGACGCCAGCACAGTATGGCCAATATCTGAATGATTTCCTTGAAGCGCCGAGTACAAGTTAAATTGCATTCAATGTACTTAGCATAAGAAGGTGCAGAAAAGTATGGTTTTTTAAAAAACATTCCAAGATAGAATGATTAAACGGGTATACAGTATTTAAAAAGGCAATTCTTAGTTATTTGAGCAATTCTCTTACAAGGTATACCCATTTTCCAATAGTGGAAAATCTGACAGTGGCAGAGTACATACTAAAACTGTTCTATGTTTTATGGATTAACAAGGTCTTTTTAGCCCTTTAGTAATGCCACAGCTCTAAGATAAATGTACTGTTATATAAAATGCTCTAGAAAGAATGGTACTGTTATACAGTTATGTAGTATAATGTAGTAAGATTCCAGTATACTTTCTTGCTAAGATAAAAAAGCAAATTTTTAATCTTTGTCTTTCATTGAGTGCTTCTGTCTCATTGCCTTAAAATGGGATCAGGTCCTCAGCAGTCTTATTACTATACATCCCTTAATTTGCTCCATCTTCTAAAGTCCTTAGTTTATGGCATGACATTTCCCCCTGTCCTCTAAACCAGAGTATCACCACTGACTCGGATTTTTCCTTCTCCTTTCTTCTCACATGCAGTCAGTCAGTTACTACGTCCTGATGCTTCTTAGCTCATAATACCCTAGGCTTAAACCACCTCTTAACCAGATCTCCTACCTTCAAAATGTTTACTCTAAAAATTCTATACACTGTCAGCATGGTTGGGGAAGAGTGGTAAAAGCAAGTGCATTTAACTGAACAGCCACTATGTACACCATATGTTATATTATGCATTTGACATGTTATCTCATCTAGTCCTCACATTCCTGTGAGCTAGGTATCACAATTCCCATTTTACAGATAAGAGTACTAACAGGTGAAGGCATTAAACTTTCCTAAGGTCACAAAGCTAGTCAGTAGCAAAATCCAGATCTGAACCCAGGTCTATCTTTCTCCAAAGCCTAAGTGTATGTCAGGGGTCAGCAAACTGTGTAAAGGGCTAGAAATCAAGTATTTTAGGCTTTGTGGGTCACAGGATCTGTCACATCTAACTCAATGCTGCCACTACAGCATGAAAAGCTGTGTCTGGCTGTGTTCCAATTAAACTTGGTGTATAAAAACAGGCCAGATTTGGCCCATGGGTCATAGTTGATCAACTCCAATGCTATCTCATCATGCATAATCTCCAATCAATAACAACTTTTGTGTTTTTTGCTTACCAGTTTTTAAAATAGGCAGAATAATAACTTGTTTGCAAAATGACTTTAAAGCAATGATAGATCTTGCACACAGATCCATGAAAAATAAAAAATTTTGGAAACTATGGGTTTTTAAAAAATTTTTTATTATTATTATTTTTTTAGAGTGGGAAGGGAAGGAGAAAGAGAGAGAGAGACATCAATCAATGTGCGGTTGCTGGGGGCTATGGCCTGCAACCCAGGCATGTGCCCTGACTGGGAATCGAACCTGCGACACTTTGGTTCACAGCCTGCGCTCAATCCACTGAGCTACGCCAGCCAGGGCCTCGAAACTATGTTTTTATTAAGTATTCAGCAATGCAGAGACCACTGCTTCTAGAAGACTTCACCACATAGTATACATTTATAATTTGTTTACTATATTTTTCTTTTCAACTTAATCTTAACCCTCAAAGGTTGGCCAGTTACTGGAGTTTGATATGTATGGTTTCAGATGCTACGTGTGCATGTTGGGTTTTTGTTTTTTAAAAAATGGGATTATGCCACATATTATTCTACAAATCCCCTTTTATTTTTTTATTGTCTTTTCTATTACAGTTGTCCCAATTTTCCCCCTTTGCCCTCCTTCACCCAGCCTACCCCTTCTGCCACAGTCAATCCCCACATCATTGTCCATGTCCATGGGTCATTCATACAGGTTCTTTGACTAACCCTTTCCCCTTTTTTCCACCAGTCCTCCTCCCCTGGCCTCTAGCAGCCGTCAGTGTATTCCATATCTCTAGTTCCATTTTGCTTGTTTATTTTGTTCCTCTTATAGGTGAGATCATACGGTATTTGTCTTTCACCAACTAGCTTTTTTTACTTAGCATAATTGTCTCCAGTTCCAACCATACTGTCACAAAAGGTAGAAAATTTCTTCTTCCTTTCTGCTGCATAGTATGCCATTGTGTAAATGTACCACAATTTTTTAATCTACTCATCTATTGATGGGCACTTAGGCTGTTTGCAAATCTTGGCTATTGTAAATAGTGCTGCTATGAACATAGGGGTGCATAAGCTCTTTTGAATTGGTGTTTCAGGATTCTTAGGGGATATTCCCAGCAGTGGAATCACTGAGTCAAAAGCTAGTTCCATTTTTAATTTTTTGAGGAAATTCCATATTGTTTTCTACAGTGGCTGCTCCAGTCTGCATACCCACAACAGTGCACTAGATTTCCTTTTTCTCCTGATCCTCGCCAGCACATGTTTGCTGATTTATAAATGATAGCCATTCTAGTTGGTGTGAGATGGTACCTCATTGTGATTTTAATTTGCATGTCTCTGATGGCTAGTGATGTTGAGCAGCTTTTCATTCTATGGACCTCTGTATGTCCTCCTTGGAGAAGTGTCTAGTCATGTCCTTTACCCATTTTTTAATTGGATTGTTTGTCTTCCTGGTGTTCAGTCATCTGAGTTATTTACATATTTTGGAGATTAAACCCTTGTTCAACATATCATTAACAAATATTTTCTCCCATACAGTCCCTTTTCAAAACTGTCTATTTTTTAAAATAAAACCTTGCCCTGGTTGGTGTGGCTCAGTGAATTGAGTATTGGCCTGCAAACCAAAGGGTCACCGGTTCAATTCCCTGTCAGGCACATGCCTGGGCTTCGGGTAAGGTTGTCATTAGGGGACACTCAAGAGGCAACCACTCACTTATGTTTCACTCCCTCTCTCTCTCCCTCCCTTACCCTCTCTCTAAAAATAAATAAAATATTTTTTAAAAAACAACCCTTAATATACCATGCATATCTTTTGGAGTACATACTTAGCTTTCTCTCTTTTTAGTAGCTACATAGTGTTCCATTGATAAGGAGTTAATATTCAAAATTTATAAAGGACTTAAAAACTCTACACTAAAAAATCAAACAATCCAATTAAAAAATGGGCAAAGGATTCAAACAGACACTTTTCCAAAGAGGACATACAAATGGCCAACAGACATATGAAAAGCAGCTCAACATCACTAGTCATCAGAGAAATGCAGATTAAAACCACAGTGAGATACCACCTCACACCTGTCAGAATGGCTACCATCAGTAAATCAACAAACAACGAGTGCTGACGAGGATGTGGAGAAAAGGGAACCCTAGTGCACTGTTGGTGGGAATGCAGGTTGGTGCAACCACTGTGGAAAGCAGTATGGAGATAACTCAAAAAATTAAAAATGGATCTGCCTTTTGACCCTGTAATCCCACTTCTGGAAATATATCTGAAGAAACCCAAAACACTAATTCAAAAGAACAGAAGCACCCCTATGTTCATTGCCGCATTATTTACAATTGCCAAGATATGGAAGCAGCCCAAGTGTCCATCAGTAGATGAGTGGATAAACTACTATGGGACATTTACACAATGAAGTACTACTTGGCTGTAAAAAAGAAGAAAATTTTACCCTTTGTGACAGTATGGATGGACCCGGAGAACATTATGCCAGGTGAAATAAGCCAATCACAGCAAGACAAATACCATATGATTTCACCTACATGTGGACTCTAATGAACAAACTGAACAAACAAAACAGAGACAGACTCATAGATGGAGAGCAGGATGACAGCTAGGGGTAGGGGTGGTGAGGGGGTACAGGGATAGAGCAAAAAGGGAAAAGGACTCATGGACATGGACAACAATGTGGTGATTGCAGGAGGGAGTGAGGTATAAGGGGGTTAAATGGTAATGGTGAAATACAAAAATTTTTTTTAAAAAAAGAAACATTAGCCCTGGCTGGCGTAGCTCAGTGGATTGAGCGTGGACTGGGAACCAAAGTGTCCCAGGTTTGATTCCCAGCCAGGGTACATGCTTGGGTTGCAGGCCATAACCCCCAGCAACTGCGCATTGATGTTTCTATCTCTGTCTATCTCCCTCCCTTCCCCTCTAAAAATAAACAAATAAAATCTAAAAACAACAACAACAAAAAACATTTACCTAGAGAGCTAAGAGTTGACAAAGAAAATTAAAGGTTGAGACAAACTTTTTATTGTTTTATTTCAAAGGGTTAAAAGCCTTAAATTCTGTAATATGAGGAAAAAATAAACCCACGTTTGTATACGATAAAACCAATTTAGAGCTCTGGCAACCAAATTTCTTAGGACACCAAATGTGAAACTTGTACATGATAATTGTGCTCTGATCAATATCTAGCCAGAAGATGTAATCTATAGCCTAGAAAAAGCCCTTTTGGGTGCTACTTTGGCTATTCTATATAATCAGGTTCAAGTCTTGTGACTTCTGCTTATAGAAATAGTAGGCTGTTACGGGATCATTCCATATTCTTTGTCCAGGAGTCTCTAGACAGTTGTTTACTTTTTTTTTTTTTTTTAAAGATTTTATTTATGTAGTTTTAGAGAGAAGGGAAGGAAGAGAGAAAGGGAGGGAGAGATACATCGATCAGCTGCTTCTTGCATGCCCCCTAGTGGTGACCTGGCCCACAACCCAGGCATGTACCCTGACTGGGAAGTGAACCAGTGACCTCGCGGTTCGCAGGCTGGTACTCAATCTACTGAGCCACACCAGCTAGGGTACAAACAGTTATCTACTTCTAAACAGAGGACTAAGAATAACCTCAAATATGCTATGGCTACAAGGTGCTAGAAAAGTCATATCTACTTTTCAGATGCCAGAGATACAGCTAGTATTATATCAAGCTCAGTAAGAGAAGTTACATTTCATTGGATTTAATAGATATTTAACATATATTTAGTTCCAGTAGAAATCAGTACTAAAAACACCAGCAAAACTTCAGCCAGCTTTAAAATATCTATTAACTTACTAAACAGCAAATAGGTATTTTAAATAAAAATTATTTTATGAAATTTACACATGATGAATAAAAAGAATCCCTTTTTATCCTGGATGGTGTGGCTCAGTGGGCTGACTGCCAGTCTGCAAACCAAAAAGCTTGCCAGTTCGATTCCCAGTCAAGGCACACACCTGGGTTGTGGGCCATGTCTCCAAGTGGGGGAGTGTGAGAGGCAACCAATCAATATATCTCTCATACATCGATGCTTCTCTCCCTCCCTTCCCCTCTTTCGAAAAATAAATAAATAAAATCTTTAAAAAATCCCTTTTAAATCTGACTAGTGAAAAAGTAAAACTATATAAATGTGCAATTTCACTGGCCCGTATTTCTAGACCTATGAGTATATTTACAGTCTGTGTTAAAAAATACATGAGGGTTGAGGTTTTCAACAAGAAAAAATTATATAAGTAGAATGGGAGACTGTTTTTCAGTCCTTAAAAGACTGACAGGGTCTACAGTAGATAGATCTTCACTTTCCTGGGTGTCTTGCAGATGGTCATCAATGGCAGTGAGACAGACAGTAAGTCAAATGTGATTGAAGGTGGGGTGGGCATCCCTGTGCACCAACATCAAAGAGCATAAACAACACTTACAATATCATAAGATAAAAGCCACTGCATGCAATCCTAGAGAAAATCCTTGCTTTAATATGCTAATGGTAATCTCGCAACTTCACCTGTCCTTTTACACACATGTACCCTACCTGACAAGCTGGATCAAGATCCATTTTTCTTCTGAGAAATTTTTCTACATGCCCAATAGTTGCTTCTCCCGAAACTCGGACAAACTTCTTTTCCAGTGGCTACAAAAATAAACAAACGAATAAATAAGTATTTTTCAGATTAAATATACATAAAATGTATAAACCCTAAAGCAAATTTTATAGCAAAGATGATCCCACAGATTTATGAAAAAATTACTATACAATTTCAGTTAGCTATTGAAGGAAATTTCCTGCTTAGCTTCAACTTTCTGAAAAGTATATTAACAAATATTTTTTTTGGTTCCTTTTACTTATTTTTAGAGAGGGAAGGGAGGGAGACAGAGAGAGAGAGAGAGAGAGAGAGAGAGAGAGAGAGAGAGAGAGAGAGAGAGAAACATCAATGTGCGGTTGCTGGGGTCATGGCCTGCAACCCAGGCATGTACCCTGACTGGGAATTGAACCTGCAACACTTTGGCTCGCAGCCCGTGCTCAATCCACTGAGCTACGCCAGCCAGGGCTATTAACAATTTTTTAATAGAAAAGCTTACTGGTTTATTTTACTAACTCATCAAAAATAAAACAGAGTAAAATTTATTGACAGACAGAATATCCAAAATTAAATGTTTAAAACCTGGTTTCTACAACCAAAAAAATCTAAGAAAAAAAAATGGAGGAGGAACTGCTAGACCACAAAAGGATGTAAGGGCTACAAATAAGAGGTGTAGCAACCAATTACAACGTATGGATCTTATCTGGATCCTGATTTAAACTAACCTATAAAACAATTTTTATGAGACAATGTAGGAAATGTAAAGAGTATATAGGTATTTGATTAAGATATTACTGTTAATTTTTAGAATTTTAGTTTCACTATTATGTCCGTGAAAAGTCCTTATCTTTTAGAAGCAATTGGAGTGATTTACTGAGATGTGCTTCAACAACACATGGGAAGGAGAGAAGTGGTGAAGGCACAGATGAAATGAGATTGGCCACGCGTTTGTACTTGAGAGATGTGGACGTACACGGGCATTCATTTTACTGTTCTGTCCACTTTTGTGTGAGTCTGAAATTTTCTGTAAGAGGGTTTTCCTTTTTAGGTGGAAAACGAAAAGAGTAACATCCAGAACTATGTGGCTGGAATCTGATCCCATGGTGTGAGGTAACAGGTGGAGAGGCCACAGGGTTTTAAAGTAGAAACTGTGCTTACCAGCCACCCTCTCTGAGGAAATTTTAAGAATACTATCAAATGCAAAAGAAAAGCTGGAGTGATTAGAACTAAAAGGGTATCTTTTAGGAAAACTTGAGCAGTGTTTTCCTAGCACTACCAGAGAGGGAACCTAGAATGGCTACCAAGAGGACCGAGGCAGGTGAGCCACATGCTTTTTCCATGTCACAGCGCTCAGCTTCCTTAGCTGGAGGTTTGGTTTCTAAAGATCTTTCCAGACGACGGAGCTATCCCGTATCACCACAGCATAGCAGATATGACAGATGTCACGTGCAGGTACTCCAGAGATGGACGGGCTGCCTGGGTTTAAACTCAGTTCTGTCATTTTCTAGCTGCGAAGTTTTCGGGCAAGTTGGTGGACCTTTCTGTATCTCCACATCCGTTTGTAAAACAGGAACCTACCTCATAGAATTATCTTAGGAAAGTGATATGATGTATGTAAATAGCTATGAACACCTCCTGGCACACAGTAAGCACTAAGAGTTGTTGCTAATGAAAGACCATACACTGCATTTTATTGTCGTGTTTCTGTCTTTCCCTTTAATCTAGAACAGCTCTGACACTTTGTCTTTATGTTTCATGATACTGACATTTGGTATGATACATGGCCATTAAAGACATCTTTTAAGAATACTGAAATATTTGCAGATGAGATAGCAAAATGATAGGGATTTGTTTCAAAATACTGGAAGTGAGTAGATGAGGGTATAAGACAAAATTAAACTGGCCATTAGTTTATTGGTAAAGCTAAGTGATGGATACATGAAGGTTCTGTCTACTTTTCAAATTTAAAAATTTTCATAATTAAAAAATTTTAAGAATGACTCCCAGGAAAACTTTTCGGTACTAAATTACTGCTTTGTGAAATGTTTTTAAATTGAACAAATAGGGTTTATGATTTTCATGTTACAGATCTGCATGGTGAAAAGTTTAATAACCGGGAATCACTCTAGTCAGATATAGTTATTTAAACTCAAAGATAAGGCATAAACACAGCTTTTTTAAGTAGTAGAGAATACTGAGCTGTAACTAGAACTCTATAAAAATACAGAATTAAAAGAAAAACAGTAAGCCTGCCAAGTAACAAGTTGGGGCAGGTTAACCTGAGCTAAAAACGTTACATGCAAATACAATTTTAAGCTCACATTTAACTCTAAATGCCAACTATGCAAAAAATGCTTTGAAACATTTTTTATCACCAAATTAACATAGCGTTTAGCTTTAGGCTTCTCAAAGTTACTCACTTATTCTTCCTTAGACTACTGTTCTGAATTAATAACAAATCCCTACTTAATAACTGTTCTCTCATAAAGCTATTTTATGAGAACATTATTGAATGTACTTCATATTTCAACAATTTGTATTTATAAAACACTATTGTAATAGAAGACAATCACCATATAAATGCTAATCTGATTCTTAAACGTGTGTGTTATAGGGTCCTCTTGTAAAGTAAGTGAAAACTAAAAGTAAAATACCTTAAAATGTCCCGTGCCTTCATTAGCACTGAAAAATGAAAGCAAAATTAATCAACAAAATATTTTAAACTATATGTGAAATCACATAACATAGAAAAATAACGAATACAAACATTTGAAGAATGTTAATTTAATTTCACAACAGCCATCTAATGCTTTAGGAAATAAATGTAGCTGTCATTTCTGCCACCTAGTGGTAAGGAAAAGACAGTAGTGTTTTATATTACTTTGCGTCTTTCAGGAATTTCTTTTTTTTTTCTTTTTTGTTTGCCATTTATTAGGAAAAAATCATTCCATAATCTGTTCATTTTCTGGCAAAGATGTTGGAACTTGCAATAGTTTTTTAGTATAGGAGTTTCTGATTTCAGAAATATTAAAAGGTATAAGGTTTGGACATTATCAAAACTGTCGTATGTTCTTGCACTGGATCTGGTTAATAATGAAGCTTTGCCTGGTGCACTGACAGCTTTGGGGAAGTCATGGTTACTTATTAGAATCTTCTTAACTTTTCAGTATATTCTTCTTTTTCTTTTTAACCCTCACCCCAAAATATAGTTACTATCGATTTTAGAGAAAGAGGAAGTGGGGCTCAAACCCACAACCTAGTTATGTGCGCTGAACAGGGATTAAACCTGCAACCTTTTGGTGCATGGGACGATGCTTGGCCAGGGCAGGATATTAACATTTAGATTTCTCCACATGTAGCATTCTAACTTTTTCCAGGTTAAAGTAAAACTTCTTTTTGTCTTTTATTCTATCACAATTAGTATGTTTTTTTCTCTATAGTAACCTTTACAAGATAATTTTTTTTTAAGAAACAAAAGCCAAGTTTATTTATTTATTTCTTGCACTTAAAGTAGTCCTCAATGTCATCCTTGGCTTGAGACTCTTTGCCATAGTCCTTAACTGCCACATAACTGCAACCAACCACTTTACAGGGTTTTCCTCTGTTGATTTTACAAAGGTTGACCAATTTCCCTAGTTTCTTGTTGTCATCAACTTTAATTAAGCTGATCTGGTGTTCAGCACAAAGGGCCTCCACCAATTCAACATACACAAGCTTAACACAGCTGGAGGCAAGCACACAAAGGTGGGCCTGGAGCTTATCTAAGGCTTTGGTGGCTTTGGGAGACAGGCCACAGTAGAAGAGGATGGTCTTCAGCACAGCACCTCTTGTAAAGCAGTACTGACATCCATTACACCTCCAGCAGCAGAGCCTTTCCTAGGCCATGGCAGTGGGTTATGGGTGGAGCTGAATCTTGACCACACCCAAGTCTCCACCTCTGTGCAATCCCGCAGTGGCAGGGAAAAATGTACAAGATAAATTTATAATATTCATATATTGATAACAGTTTAGACATGTTAGGACTACCACATGTTGATTCTTACAACAATCCTGGGAGTTGCTATTACAACCCCCAATTTAGAAATATGGAAACTGATGATCAGAGAAGTTAAGCTACATCCCAGGAGTTACATACCTTGAGTTACACTCTTCAAAGTCTATGCTCTTTCTATACACACTCTACTGCCTATCTGAAGTCATTTCTTTTTATAATCTTCTACTTTAAACATAGGAAGTGAAGAAAAGAAAGAAGTGCAAGACTATCTTAAGATCACAAGACATGCATACCCAATTTAGCAGGGAAATCTAATTTCACATTCCAGTAGCTGAAAAGTCACTATCCACAGGCTGAACCTACCTCAGCTGTTTTGATCTTCCAGTTCCAATAGGGCCACCAGCTGGACCAAATATGCCCTCGTACTTACATCAGGTTAAAACTCATCTGCAACTTGTCCCCTGCCCTGAAAGAACTTCCTATGGGTTACCCTTAGTAGCCTGACTTTTGTAGTGAAAACTTGGAGATTTAATCTGGGGACTGGGGACTTCAAAAGGACTCTTTGCCAAATAAAGCTCTTTCAAAAGGACTCCCTGTCGCACTGAAAGCTTTCCTTCCCTTGATCGTTTGAAAACAGATGAAGGACTATAATAAAAGGCAGACTGACTACCCACCATAATCACCAAGTCTAATTCTACTGTTTTACAGATAGGGAAGCTGAAGCTCTGGGAAGTTAAAAGTTCCATGAGGGGAAGGGTCATGGCTGACTTATTCAAACTATATTCCCAGCAGCTAGTAGAATGCTATGCTGGTACATGGCAGAACCTTCATAAACATCTTGTGAATAAACAAAATGCAATCCATCTAAGTTTACAAAGCTAGACAACAGGGGAGCTAGAACTGAATTCTAGATCTCCTTACTCCTACTGAGGGCTCTTTTATTCTATAGCAGGGCATGTGTCAAGAATGTAACAACTTGGACAAATGGTAATGACCACCTTGAACACAGTGGTCAAGTCTCCCTCATTAGGAAAGCCTGTCATGCTTAATTATTGATTTCTGCTGTGAGCAAAGAAAGAGAGAATGGTGGCATGCTTGTCACATATTTGCCATCTTTGTATTACTGCCACTTTTCAAAAGTGCATCCCTGCTACTTTTCAAAAAAGGTCTACAAATACTGATTGTCAGTACCTATTGTATATTAGTGGAAAAGATTACATTTCCCCAAAATAATTTTTTAGAAATAGAAATTCCTTTCAATTTTCAAATTTTCCTTAGACTTACTAAAAATCAAGCTACATGGTAAAAATGCAAATGCAATGAAAAGTAAAACTTCTTTTCTAGACTCAGGCTCTAGTGCCCTTTCCTAGAAGCAACTGCCATTAACATTTTCTTACTGTCCCTTTAGAAACATTCTATGCATGAAAAAAAAAGGTTTCCAACCCCGCTTTGTATAAAAACATAAATGGGCACATGCAACGTATTCTCTTCTGTATCTTGCTTTTTCACTTAAGACACTTTACAATCTTCCCATGTCAGCATGTATATTACTATATGGCACATGTTCACGTGCTATATATCACTATTTAGCCAGTTCCCTTTTGGACATTTAGGATGAAACACATTCTTTAATTAACTAAATTGCTGGTTTAAAGTTTGGTATTACATGGTTTCTTCTCTTTCCTTCAAGGAGATCTTTGTTTCGTCATATCAACCACTATTATGTGGGCTTTGTGGTTTTTGCCTCTTAGAAGTTCTTGATTTCAGTTGAGAAAACAGGATAAATACATAAATAAATACAACACAGCACAAGCTACATATCAATTAAATGATACAGGCAACCAAGACTTACAAGGAGGAAGTCACTGAGAAGTAAAATAGTCATCAGTGACACAATATGGGATAATCCAGATTTTCCAAAAAGGCATCTTAATTTACGCTGCAAACTAATGCAGGTATGTTGAAAACTACAGTTTGGTACGCGCCAACTCTGAGGTCGTGACGGTCTGTGTGACAATGCCGCAGCACCGTGGCGCACGCCATGCAGCGCAGTGTTTGAATGATGCAATTTAGATGAATTAGAAAGATGTCCAACTGCTCTAGAAATTAATTTGGCAAAACCAAGTAAAGTTGAAGACAAACATATCCTAAGACTCAGAAAATCTACATAAACTCTTAGAAAACTATCTCATATATATATATGTATGGATATATGTACAAAAATATTTAAAGTAACACTATTTACGATAGCAAAAATCCCCTGGAAACAACTTAAAAATTCAACAATACAAGAAAAAATAGATTATGGCATGTTTAAGGAAATACGTGGCAATGGTGTAATGAACTAAACATTTCAACATGGATAAATCACACAATGCTAAGTGAAAAAGGCAAGTTGGAAAACACTGTGATACCATTTCAAGTTTTTAAATGAACAAAAAACAATTTTACATATTGCTTAGGAAGAGATACTTGTAGCAAATACATATTAAAAATGCAGGGGAATGACAATCATTACTTTTAGGAGTGTGGTTATTAAACTCTAAGGGAAGGAAGGGTGAACAGGAAGAGGTAGCCAAAAGGCTTCTGCATATTAACATGGTTTATTTCTTAAGTCAGATGGTAGACATACAAGTAGTTATTAGGCCTTTTTCTAAGTCTTAAATATTTCATAGTACCTTTTAAAAAGAAATCAGAAAAATTTGATATTACTTGAGTTCAGGATGATTTCATAACCGTTGGGACTTTAAACATTCTTCAAGATTAAGAGGTCGAGAGGTTTAGGGTACTCACCCAATGAACTCTAATAATAAAGACATATCAAGTTCAGGTGGAATCCGAAACACTGATTCTAAGACTTTCTTAGATCTTCCTTTGCTTGAAGGGACTGACTGTGGAACAGCTGTTTTGGTAGCCAAACAAAAAAGCTGAGTTAGAATAAAAATTTTTATAAATTGATACCTTTGAAAAATAATTACACGGATATTATAATTATGTCGACCACTTAAAAGATCATAAAGCACTCAATTTCCTTTTCTTTAATAACATCAGCTAACCTGTCACAGCCAGTGAAATAAGAGGTAAGCTTGGGGACCACCCCGAGATGGAAGGCAGACACGTGAGGCTGGTTTATCAGGGCCACAGAGAAAGCTCACCATTAACAGCACACAGTTGTAGATAACCTTTAACAAGCACTATACGCCAGGGAGCTCAGGGTGCATGTTCAGCACTTTACATGCATCATCTCATTTAATCCTTGTTATAATCCCATGACATAGGTACTACTGCTACTTTTTAAAAAACTGTCTTTAAAGAAACTGAGATTACAGTTTAGTGAGGTTAGGCAATTTGCCTAAACTTAATCCACATAGTAAGTGGAAGAACCAGGATTTAAACCCTAATCTAACTGCCACACTGTGACATTACCATCATCATAAAAACTAATGTGTGAACCCCCGCTGGTGTGGCTCAGTGGATTGAGCGTCGACCTGCGAACCAAAAGGTAGCTGGTTTGAATCCCAGTCATGGCACATGCCTGGACTGCCAGCCAGGTCCCCGGTTGGGGGTGTGCGAGAGGCAACTGATTGATGATCCACATATTTCTTGCAAAATGATGTTTGTCTCCCTCTCTTTCTTTCTCCCTCCCTTCCATTCTTTTTCTAAAAATCAATCAATCAATCTTGATAAACAAACAACAAAAAACTAATGTTTGAGCAGTTACTATGTTCCAGGCACTGTTTTAAGTGCTTTGTATCGAGGAAGCTGAGACCGTGAAGTAATGTGTCAAAGTCACATTACTTTATTAGAGATAAAGTGGTGGCCAGAATCAAACTCAGACAATCAGCTCCAAGCCTATACTTCTTACTTCTTATAAACAATTAAATTAGATTACACTTCAAAATTCGAATACCTTCAAAACCTTTCTCTTTGATCATAAAATAACCAACTATCACCAAAAAGAACCCCAAAGGGAGTAAGTTTTATTGTTAGTGTTCTTTAATTTATAAATACATTATAGTATACACCCAAACTTACCAGGTTTAGGTACTTCTAGACCTCTTTCTTTATAGAAATCATGCATTTGCTTTTTTTCTCCTAAAAAATGATAAAACACAGACTAAATTACACTTAAAATGTAACTAGGAGAGTCAGCAGAGATTCTGGGGTTCACAACTATGTAATAAAATAAACTTACTTTCCTCTAGATTGATCACTAATTTGTACACTATGTCTTGTAACTGTCGGTCCAACCTAATAAAAGGAAAGGATGGAGAATACCTCAGAATTCAGAAAAATGCATTTGGTACAGAGTGAACGATGCTCTTTGTAAGTACTGTTTTCTCTTGGAAGTGGATACTTCTCAGAGGCAAGTTACTTTTAGTAGCACTCATAGTTCTCATCTAAGAGAACCTCAAGGTATATGTAATCATAAGTAATCAGAGATCCTTCCATGGTTTGCTAAATTGTTCCACACGTGCTGTTTTTATTCCCTTGATAAGAATGTGAGCTTAAGGGCAGATACTGTTTTTTGAACTTCCGTGTATCACCTGCAAAGCACTTGTTTATAAAGGGAGTAAAAACATAACAGTATTTGCTGAAAAATTCTAAATTAAAGCAATCCACATTTAGTATTTTTCTCTCCTTAGGAAACTGTGCATGAACTGAAAATCTAATTAATAAGCCACAATGACCTACAACAGATTATTCTAGAGGCCAGTTGTTTTAAGTATTACTTGTAGAAAACAGAATTCTAAATACACTGAAAATGACAAGCTTAAACTGGCCTCATTAACTTGAGTGACAGAATTCAAATCCTCAGAAAAAAAGAACTGTGTCTCTTTTTTTTAAAGTCTCCAGCAGATATCACAGTGCCTGGTACACGGTAAGTACTCTATATGCATTTTTTAAAAAGAATAGGTAGCTACCTTTCTTAGACATAGGTCAGGCATTTATTCCTCAAAACACCACTTCAAGCTTTCAGAAAAAGTATACTTAAAATATAAATTGTACTTATATTCCTCTTACCTTATGTTATAAAGAGGTTGTGTCTGATGTACTACTATGTTGCATTTTGGACATCTGTTGCTATAGTAAAAATGTCTTACAATGCAGCTTTTACAAACTGTTGAAAAAGAAAATGTTTAAATTAGGATGTTTTCGAGATGTTTCAAAATTTTAATTCTTATTCATAAATGGGAACTGTATGCTTACATGTATGCAGACACTCTGTAATGGTCGTCGCGTCTATTAAGTAACCTTTGCAAATGGAACACAAGATGTACGGGGTCAGCTCGGAGAGATTAATCAGGCGCTGCGAATGCAATGGAAACAGTTTTAAAATACAAGTCCTTGCCTTCTCAAAATTTAAAGCCAGAATTCTAAGATCTCATTATAAGGAGATCTCATTATAATGAAATCCCAAGATCTCATTATAACCAATATGTAACTTAATCTGCATCAGGAATACGTGTTACAGTACCTCCAACCCTTCAAAGTACTGCTGGAAAATACAATAACACGATATAAATCGATGTTTCAAATACATCCCATTCTTCTGGATATAGTATATATTGCCAGATGAAGAGCATCTTACTTTATGAATTACTATAAAAAATGGGCAAACTCTCCAGATCCTGGTCCTTAAGTGTATTACTTCTGACTGGCTATGTGAATTATTACCTAAGTTGATGAAATGTGCACTACTACCACGTTAAAAAAAAGAAATCTTCCCAATAAGAGACCAACTCGGGGGCAGGGGCACGGGACCCTCGGCGCCTACCCGCCCGCCCGGCACGCAGTAGCTTCAGTCATTAGCTAGAACACGAGTCAGCCGGGCCCGCAGAGCCTCGGTGATCTGCAGGAACCTCACAAAATGACTCCGCAGGGAATCGGGCGGGACGCAAGGCCGGTCCGCGCCACATGCCTAGGCAGGCAAGGTGCGGAGAGGTGGAGCGCGACGCCAGCGCCGCAGGCTGCGGCGGCGAGGGGCGGCGCGGGCCGGACCCCGAGGCCGCCGGGCCCGGCGTGGTCAGCAGGAGCACAAATACCTCTTCCTCGTCCTCGGATTCGGGCCGGCACCCCTCCAGCCTCAACGAGAAGTGGCTCATCTCTTCCTCCTCCTCCTCCTCCTCGTCTTCCTCCAGGTCCTCATCGTCTTCCAACTCCTCGTCCTCGTCCTCGAAGCGGCCCCTCAAGCGGCCCAGGCTGCGCTCCGGCTCCAGGTCGGGGGGCCGGGAGCCCGAGCAGCCGGGAGCCCCCGCCTCGGGCAAAGGCGACGGACCCTCCTCACCCACTGAGAGAGCCGGGGTGAGGGCAGGCGGGGAGATTGAAGGTGGGGGCGGCGCGGCTGCGGCTTCCTCCACCTTGGCGGCGGCCGCGCTACCCCTCGTCAGCACCGAGACCCCCTCCATGCCCGGGTCAGTGGCCAAGCGAGGTGCGACCAGGCGGCTGGATAGCGCGGGAGTTCCTCCAGCCACCTCCAGCGCCACGCGCAGGCGCGCGAGCGCTGCGGGGCCCGCTGGGAAATGTGGTTCGCCCGCCTCCGCTCAGCCGAGACGCCCGCGGGCCTCTCAGGTGTGTAGGGGCGGGGCTTGCAGGCCGCAGCTGGGACAGATCTAACCCAATTTTTCTTTTGGAAGGCAGGCGTCGTCTTCACTGCCTTTTAAAAACGACGAGATTGGTACCATTTAAGACAGCAATATTCGTCTGCATCGACTGATGCGCAGAGCACTGATCTAGGTGCTATAATGATGTTCCATTACGAATAATGATTTCGATTTGAGTGCCAGTTCGGCGTTTCTTCCTTCCAAGTTTGTTTCCATTAGGGAGTGTGAAGGTTCTATTTTGAAATATGTTAAGTGTATTTATTTGGAGGAATTAAATCTTGTATTGCCGTAGGATGGAAATTTAATCACCGTTCAAAGACCATCCATGATTCCCCATCACATAAAGGAAGCTCAGTTATATTTAGTTCAGCAAACAGTTCCTCACCCCGCGCAATTTCATTAGGAGAGAGATTTGGAGTTGGTGAACTTGATCCTTGCTGACTAAGAGAGTGCCAGCTATTGTCGCTATTCTTGCAAGCCAGATTCAGGAGTGAAGTGTTCTTTAATGAAATAATGCTGAGGGCAGAGTGTGGGGGATACATTTGAGAGAGAATGTGTTGTCGCTGAGTAAAATTAATGCTAATCTGGGAGTGGTGTACGTACTTCTTAGGGAACTGGTGAGGACAGCAAGTCATTGTGTTCCTTCCCGGGAAACCGCCAGATCTGGTGCAGACCCACTGCCCCTGAACTAGACCTGAACTCTCCCTCTGCAGTCCCCAAAGTCTGGTAAAACCTGTGATATTAAAGGTGGCAAGATCCAAGAAGGAATGGAAGGAAGAAAATGTCTCCTCCTGCATAGAACACTGTAGATCCTGAAGGGAGGGGAATAGGAATGGGACTAGGTATTGAAAAGTTGGTGGAAGAGAGAAATTGAGACAGACCTAGACACCTGAGATACTCTCCTAGAAAGGCCTAAAACAGGAAGACCCTCCACATAACTACAGCAGATAAAGTCATAGCTTCTAATGTCTCAACATTGTAAGAGCTACATGATAAAAGAATTGCTTGTGCTGTGCATTGTAATTATATAATTTTGAAGTCATATGAGATGAACATATTAATAATATTACTAACGTTTTTTTAAGTACAGAATGCAAAATAGTGAAAATCCCCAATTTTTAAAAAAACTTTTAAAAAAGATTTTATTTATTTATTTATTTATTTATTTTTAGAGAGGGAAGGGAGGGAGAAAGAGAGAGAGGGAGACAGAGAGAGAAACATCAACGTGTGGTTGCTGGGGGTCATGGCCTGCAACCCAGGCATGTACCCTGACTGGGAATCGACCCTGCAACACTTTGGTTCGCAGCCCGCGCTCAATCCACTGAGGACTGAGCCAGCCAGGCCTCCCATTTTTTTAAACAAAATCTAGAATTGCATATTTTCAAAGCTGGTGAGCTAAGTGAACTATGAACTTTCATTACTGCCACTGGGTAGTGACAGTTTACTCAGTGAACAGAAACACCATCAGGCTTTGTCACTTCTGTGTTGTGATGGCTAGTTTTCAGTGTTAACTTGGCTACATTCAATCACACACTTACTGGGTGCTGCTGTGAAGGTATCTTGTAGATGTGATTGACATCTGCAATCAATTGACTTTTAGTAAAAGATATTATCCTCTGTAACTTGAGCAGAACTCATCCAATCAGTTGAAAGGCCTTAGAAGCAAAACTGAGATTTTGCTGGGAAATAAAGAGATTCCCCCTGTGGACCGCAGCATCAGTTCTTGCCCAAGAGTTTCCAGCTTGTAGGCCTGCCCTACAGATGGCAGACCTGCCAACAAGCCCGCACAACTGTGTAAGACAATTCCTTGCATAAATACTACTGGTTATCCTCTCTGGTGGAACTCCGACTGATACATATGGTAGATGGTTTAATTACGTGATGTTTGTGAGGCAGTATGTGAGGCCTTCCAGCATGTATCTCTTTTATAAAATGATAATTTCTTGTATCTCCATTGAGATCCACGCATGTTGCAATATTCAGGTTATATTTTTGGGAACTTGCCAGGGATTTTTACATTTTGACAAGGCACCCGAATTGAGTCATTCCCTAGATTGAGGCAGACCTTCACTTTCACCCTGGATGCTAACTTATTAGAAGGCAAAACAGCAAAAGTGGATCTAGCACAACTAGTAATTGTACCCCACGTATCATGATTAGACTGAGAGAGATGCTGTAGAACAGGAGAAACAACAGTAGTGAAGTTATTTGGGGTGGGGGAGCTGTTTTGATATTTCAAACAAAGTCATATCTAAAAATTATTATATAAAGTTCACACACCAATTCACTATCTCTTTATTAGTGAATATAAAATAAGAGGAGATAGCACAGATTGGTTGACTGTGAAAAATAATGGGTCTCTGAGCACCACATATAAAAAAATATTTTTACCCTGGTTGGTATGGCTGAGTGGATTGAGCACTGGCCTGTGAACCAAAGGGTCGCCAGTTTGATTCCCAGTCAGGGCACATGCCTGGGTTTCGGAACAGGTCCCCAGTTCGGGGTGCGTGAGAGGCAACCACACATTGATGTTTCTCTCCCTCTCTTTCTCCTTTCCTTCCCCTCTGTAAAAATAAATAAATAAAATCTTTTGTAAAAATTTCAAAAATAAATAAATATTTTAATTGTTTATGCTATTATAGTTGTCCCAATTTTCCCCCTTTGTCCCCTCCCCTCTGGGTACCACATTTTTAAAACAGATCCATGACCAATATGGTGGGATTGGTTGCAGAATCAAAAACCCAGAAATGCTCTTTGAGACTTGGGGTACTCTTTGGTTATAAATAAATAATTTGCCAAAGACATTATTTTTTAATATATTTTGTTTACTTACTTTTACAGAGGGGAAGAGAATGAGAGAAACATCAATGCATAGTTGCCTCTCGAGAGCCCTCTACTGGGGACCTGCCCCGCAACCAAGGCATTTGCCCTGACTGGGAATTGAACAGGAGACCCTTTGGTTTGTAGGCTGGCATTCAATCCACTGAACTACACCAGCCAGGGCCAAAGGCTTAAATTTTTAAAATCAGATTAAAACACAGAGAATTTTATGTTATCAATATTCATTTCAAAAAGTGTTACTAAAACAATTTGAAATCATCAAATGAATATGCTATATAATTACTAGTACACTTCTGACCCAAAATACATATTTCAATCAAGGTCTAATTTTGATTTCCAGATACTATTTTGTTTTTAAGATTTTTATTTATTTATTTTTTAGAGAGAGGTGAAGGGAGAGAGAGAGGGACAGAAATATCCATGTGTGGTTGTCTCTTGTGTGCACCCCACTGGGGACCTGGCCCACGACCCAGGCATGTGCCCTGACTGGGAATTGAACTGTTGACCCTTTGCTTTGCAGACCTGCACTCAATTTACTGAGCCACACCAGCCAGGGCTGATTTCTAGATATTATTATTTATATTATATCTATTTATTTTTATTATTTGCTAACATAATGAGGGTTCCTGAAACTCATAGCTTTGTCTTGATTCCCAAGGTCACATGGCTGCTGATCTAACATTCTGTTTTCCTTCTTGAGTGCTACAAATCATGTCTTCTGATGCTATACAACAAATTGATTTTGTGAACAAAAATCAAACTTCGAATTCCTTCTAAACAAGTCAGATCCAAAGGTTTTAAGCAACATGGTACAGTTCCCAAACTAAAATGTATTTTTAAAAAGATTTTATTTTTATTTATTTTTAGAGATGGAAAGGAGGGAGAAAGAGAGAGAGAAACATCAATGTGCGGTTGCTGGGGGTCATGGCCTGCAACCCAGGCATGTAGCCTGACTGGGAATCAAACCTGCGACACTTTGGTTCGCAGCCCGCACTCAATCCACAGAGCTACGCCAGCCAGGGCTTTAAAATGTATTTTCCTTTGTCTTCTCAAATACCTCATCCAAAAATGGTCTCCTTTGAGAATTCCATTAGAGAGATTTATAAGAACCATACTAAATCTGATTAAAGGAAGTGGATGAATATACTCATTTCTTTTCCATTAAAAATAAAATCTGACCCAGATTTTAAGCAGAGAAATGCAGAGAAAGAAGAAAAGGGTCAGATGAGTAGAGCAATTCTACTTGTAACTGCACACCCAAAATCACTGAACATAGGATCTGGCAAAGATGTCTGTACACCCATAGTCACAACAGCATTGTCCGTAATAACCTAAAGGTGGAAGCAACCCATGTGTCCATTGATGGATGGTGGGAGAAAAATGTGATACATGCATACAGTGGGATATTATTCAGCTTAAAAAAGAAAGGACTGCCTTTTAAACATTGCTTCAACATGCTACACACTAAAACATAGGTGAACCTTGAGGACATTATGCCAAGTGAAATAAGCCAGGCACAAAAGGACAAATACTGTATAACTCCACTACTCCACCTAGAGAAGTCAAATTTCCAGAGACTACTTCCAAAGTAGAAGGGTCATTTCTAGGGCCTGAGGAGGAGGGAAGAAAGGGAGTTGTCATTTACTTGGTGTGGAATTTCATTTGGGGAAGATGCAAACAGCCTTGGAGATGGTTATACAACAGTGTGAATGTACTAAATGCCACTGCCCTGTACATACACATAAAATGGTTAAAATGGTAAATTTCATGTTATATATATTACCTCAATTAAAAATATATGCTCACTCAACACAGAAATGTATACAGTAAAATACAGAATCCTTCTGCATACTCACCCCCTGCATGGACTTGGACATACTTATGCTTATAAGGTACCTGGTATTACACAGCCGTGTTCTTCAGTGGACATCCTTGAACGGGCCACACCAGATGGTTATTTCCATAACCCTAACAGTGAAATTTGTGGGTCACAAGGTATAAACATTTACATTTTGGTCAC